CGTCAATGACGATTCGCCAAAAAAAGCGCTTGATCCTCTTTCCTTAAGGAGTTCTTCCATTGCCTCATCAGTTAGCAAATGGAGGCGTGCAGGTAGAGGAGAGCTAAATGCTAACAGACACTTCATATCCACTAATCCCATTGAGAGAGTCATAGTCTTGTAACAATAAAAACCAGTACACGCCACTTTTTTTAAAATGTTACTGCCTATTGCCCAATATAAAAATCTAATAAATAACTAGTAAGTACAAATTACTCTAGAATTATATTCACTTACTCAAAACTCAACGAACATTCGTAAACAATCACCACCAATCGAAATGCCTGTTTTACTCAAAACTCCTTGCGTGTTGGACCAAAAGTTCTTATACGCGACAGCTTGACCTGGAGAGTCCCGGAAAGTATCTTATTAAATCCATACTTAGGTAATTCTAATGTTTCAATGTTTCTATGATGTTGTTTCTATTGTCTATGTGTTAAATAATGTAGTAGAGGAATTTGAGTCTCTTTAATAAAGGGGCACCTGTTTGAAGGACTACACAAAAATTGTTCTCATTAGCTACAGATAGGTGACCAAAGGGGGGGTGTGCGCGCTCAAAGAATACGAGGCTGGGGCTGCGTAGATGAAAGGAATGCTGGGTGGAATGTCAGGGGGCAGGAACCGAGACTGTGGGAAGTGAGTCATTGAGGGATGGAACACATTAAGGACTATGAGCGAAAGCTGTGTGGAGTGAATACCTCGTTTGATTGATTTTATCACAGTATATATGCCAACCCTAAAGCTAGCGATGCCCGAAGCAGTTCTAAATTTAGAGTAACTATACGTCTATCGCCCATTTGATAAGCTTCATATTAAATTTTAACACTATTTGTTATGTAATTGATTTTTGATTAGAGAATCTTTAAAACCGTGATTATGTTGTTAATATCATAATGTGATTTTTCCATATCTTCGTAATGGCAATTCTCTACTTCTACCGTAGGATTGTTCGATCCAGTTTCAGATAATATCATAAAAATGAACTGTACTCAATGCATATTACATGGAGAAACTTATGCCACTTGTGGGATGGTATTGCGTGATAAGCTTTGCCCTCAGTCCTTTTTAGTGTCATATCTAAAACGACGAACCCGCTTTCTCATATGGCACGTGTGTCAAAGTTCACTGTAGATAGCGTTAACATATACTTTTGCCTTGAGTGCGAATTAGACCATATACGAATGGGACGCGCACGTCTTCCTATACTATGCAGAGTGCGTGTGTTGGTGGAAAAAATCGAGATTTAAACCAAACCAACAATTGGAAAGCTCTGCACTTTTAGCTCTTTGGGGTTTACGTGGCAAACCTTCACACCGAATATATCAGAGGCGTACTTGATCCCAACTACGGTAAGCAGCCCAACTTTCAATTGTGGTTTGTGTCGAGTGTTTAATCTCAATTCAGTATTAATTCACAATAAGAATTCTCAGAAACACACCTTACAAGATGTTTTCCATTTCATTGTCTCTTATAAAACTGAGGCGCCGCTACAGATGGAACTAATGAGATCAAAACACTTATACTATCGAGAGAGCAAGCGGTATGAGCACCTCTACTTTTTAGAAAAATGATAACTGACTCTCAGTGTCGCCAAATTCCTAGACATTTGCGGAGAGTACACAAAATAGGAAAGTATCTTCGTGTTTCAACATAGAGCAAGTTTCTTATTTGACTCGGAACTTCATGAGATGACACACTCTCTGCTAAAATCGAATAAGCGGCTTCGAGAAGAATTAAGTTAACCATAGATATTCCAATCTCATCAGCCAATCAGTCTTAAATGTAAAATCCATACAAGAGAACAATCTTCAAATAGGATATTAGAGTGTATTACTGAGAGAATATCATGGCAGTGAAGCAGTAATCAAAATTGCTTCACTGTTATCACCAAGCTGTGCTTTAATATAAGACTGACAATCTAAAGTACAAATAACGAGGAGTGGACAACTTATTGGCTTTACCTTGCTTCTCTCTAGCATGCGATACAATTATTTGGAGAACAACTTATTCCGACATTATGTCCAAATATAAAAATTCATAACTTAGTCTACGAATATTTTCGTAGCATAACACTAAATCAACCATTAGAATACAAAGAGAAAATGATTTATCCTTAAGTATCAGAAGAGTTGTAGACTGAGACTATTTGCAACCTTTCCATTGTGGTTAAACCTCATGTCCAAACACGCAAGGAACTTATTGAGTAAAAACATATCCGTTGAGGTTTACGAAGACGTTGAGTTTTGTAGTAAGTGAATTATGTCATATTCTTGTTTATTACATTATTTATAGAATTTGGCTTCAGTAATGAACCCTTGTATGTGAGGTGCGGATGTGAGTAACATTATAGAAAGAGGAGGGAATGGTACTGTTTTTAATTGTTGTATTCGAGTGGACTATGCTTCTTCTTCAATGCGATTGCATGCCGACTTGATATCTCTTCCTAGATATTAGATCGTCAGAGAAACTGCTCTACTTCCTTTCAACTTGAGAGCGATGCACAGATAATGTGTAAAGCCAAATCTTTAAAGGAAGAGGCGAATCATACCTCTTAGAGAGCGAAATCTGTCAGTGCGTGACCACTCAACAACAATAGACATATAGCAAAGTGGAAACTTTTCGATCTGAGCACATATTTTTGTGAACTTTATATCACAAACAATGCTTTAGTATGTTGTTGTGGACTATTTGGTTACTAAGAAATTAGAATTTAAAGAATTGTCTATCTGGTTAATATATTATGATTGTGTTTGATTAGTCAGCGTCTTGAGCTTTTTTGGATGTGTGAGGCATATATTCCCACTTGTTTTTTCTATAGGTTAATCATGTTTCGACAAACGTGTGATCCACTTATCACTCCACCTACAATCAGGACCATAAGAACGTTAGAGACAATCATAATACTTCTTCCATATGTCAGTTACTCTCTAAAATTCGCGATGGCTCAGATATTATTGTTATAGTGATGGCACTCATATAGTTATATAAATCTTAGATATGTAAAAATATTTTCTGCTAACTATGGATAATGCGTGTGCTCCCTTGAAACAAAAATAGTGCTGTCTTACAGTACCTAGAAACCTTATGCATGTGTCACAAAACTTCAATCTGTTAATATGGCAATCATATTGCAGGAGAGGATACCCTCCTATTATATAGCTACTTGGTGTTGTTATTTGTCAGATGTATCTATGAAGTATTTCCAGATTGAAGTAAAGTTAACAAACTGAACGGCGATCCATGCTTAAGTACCCAGAAAGCGAATAAAATCTTGAGTGAAAAAACTTCCGTTTCATGAAGAATAAAACAAAACTATATACCATCAAAGATTTTTCTACAGACCCCGTAAAGAAAACCAACCGAGCAATTTCCAATAGATTTACATTATAATCAGAAATTATGTGTAATAATAACAAAAAGTGTACACTAATTTGTATACGTCCATTACTCGAAATCCAATAACACCATATCAAACTCATATTTATTCGTAACACACATATAATTAACCGTCTCATAGTAATTTAGTCACAAGCAATGATATAAGGAAGTAATATACGCGTAGAGTGAGACTGAGATTATAGCCAACCTGGCATGAAACCTAATCGCGTCCATCTGCACCTGAACTCAATAAATGGACTCAAGTAGCAGAGATTTACGTTTTCATGTTAAATTCCAAATTGAAGAAATAGTACAACCTTAGCTCTCTATTGATTGTCTTTGGGGCGGGCTACTGTCTCACCTCGTTGTGTCACTTCGTGCGACAATATCTCTGCCTCTATATTCATAATTCCTCTGAAGATTAAAAACTGAGCCTCTGTCTTCATATCAATGGTCATGATGGTCTGCAATATCGGTTGGTCCATCTCGCCTGCACTTTTTCCAGCAACGCTTTCTAATTGAGCTCAAAATCTTTCAAGAGAGCCACCACCACATCTGATGTATATATCGTAGTGAACTAGTGGACTTATTAGGAGATCATATAGGTATATATAATGAGGCAACCATCTTTGCACTGTAAAGTTATTTCCTTTGTTTCTTCTATCTAGAATCCCCTGCGAGAGAAAAACATATAAAATACCAATATCTCAGCATAATGTGCGCGCGAATTTTTTACCTAAATTTATGTTTCATAGTGTATAATACATGAAGACTGTAGTCATCACAAAACTTTACATCAATAAATAATGAGATCCCACAAGAATTGTAGTCAAAGAAGGATATATTGCAAAACCCTATTGCAGGGCGATGGAGACAAGTGCGCGATATGGGACCAAGTCGACTCCGAACTCCCACTGGAAGGGGGCCATAGTTTTTAGTCCTCTGTGGCAAGGAGAGAGGATGTCACGATTGCACTATAAGTGCACTCGCAGGTACGTCTTGATGCCACATTACACTGCACTTATCTTCGCCCCTTCTCTCTACTGTCGCTCGTATCTCCCTCACCCTCCTGTGTGCCACATCTATTCTGATCCTCTTGTGGTCTCTTCCTACTCTTGTGGATATAGCTCGATCTAAAGCCGAGGCATGTATGTGTGTGAATTTAATGAGAGGGCAACATGCAAATATAATATGGGTGAAACTATCTACGCGGGATACATACACCATTCCGTATTTTGACTATTATAAAGGACACAATCTAGTTTAACCCCATCTGAGTTTTGTAACCAAACTATTTGATACACTACTGAGTTATTCACATTTAAGCTATATAATATAACTCAAAGATTCTCTACATAAGAGATCATTCTAAAAGGAGCCACATGCGAATGGGAAAATGATATGAATAAATGTTGAACACTGTGTATTTTGGCAAGCTAGGAGGTGGGCACAATATTGGTTTTATGAGTATGCAAGGGTAGCGAAAATCACCCGCTTAAATCATTTTAAAGTGATTGTTGCTGCAGCCTCTATTGCGGTAGCTGAGACCCACGTAGGTGGCTCCTCTAAATTTCCGCTTTGTATGGAGCAACATCACCTCCTGTCCTATGGAAGTTGCCTGCTCTTTTACAAGCATGTTCCCGAAGCACAAAGGAGCGCAATGGACAAGGACCATGGTGACCTTGGCTACGAGTATTGCGAAGGCAAGAACTACTCCAAATAAGGAAGCAAATTTGATGTGGTGTGGGCTGCGAAGAATGAAGAAAGAGAAACGACATTGGATCCCGCCAAATCCTCCATTTACTTCAAGTGGCAATTATGAGGTTGATGAAATCTTATCAAAATTATAAAAACTGAGAGGGAATGACAAAATGTCTTTAAGGTAGATGACAGAACACACATTCTCGTGTCATGTGTTTGCTCTAATGGTGTACTTTTATACATAAGTTTACAGATGATCTCTAGTAAACATTGAGTAGTGTGGAACTTTGAACCACGGAAAACATATGAATTTGATACAAATGTTTGTGAGATGAATGAACTTGAGATGAGGATATACATGTTATATTTTGGGACCTGTAAGTGTTTCCGAAATTGCTTGGGGTTGATTTGGTTTTCAGAGAAATCATCGGGGCATTGTCGGAAACCGAGTCAGAAGCTGATGCCCTTTTCTATGGAGGCTTTCCAGTGGGAGCTGTGGCATCACACAGATGTAAAACGGAGGACAAATAAAGGCATTAGTGAACATTGACTAATGTGGAGATCAAAATTAAACGCATTAGATAAATGCATAATACATTGTTAGAGGAGAATGTTTCAGTGATTGAACTTGAGGAAAATTAATGCAATTTAAACTACAATGATTTCACTTACAAATTTTCAAAATCATTAGGCACTCCCTTCAGAGGACCAAACGATAGATATTGACGTTTCTAATCCAGGAAAAAAGAAACGAACATAAACAAACAGCGCAAACTCGTCAACCAATATGATAGGCCGATTGCACGATACAGAAGAAACTGAATGGAGATCTTATTGTTCAAAGTCCAAATTCTATAAAACAAATCCTAATTAACAACCAACTAATAATGGATCATTGAAATTAAAAGAACAACATAAGGACGGGAGAGAGAGTAATGCAAGATTAAATAATTGTATTAGATATAACTCTACCATCCAAACATTTATCACTACAATTTACAATAAATCAAACTCCCAATATAGCTATCAAAGTATAAAAAATAAAAAAAAAGCGTTAGCAACACCTGATGAATCCACCGGAAAGCATGGTAGAAGAGAGAAGAATTGATCGTTTCACCATCTGGCAGTAACCCATTTCACAAAACAAATTACTTTCTTTTTTTTGAGAAGACAAAACAAATTACTTTCACAAACCCGATTTGCAGCAAAAATAAAGAAAAAACAAACACTTAGCATGTCTTATGACTTTAATTCCAATTGCCTCTTCAAGCTCCCTAGCTTTTGAACCATCATGCTTATATTCATAAAGCCCTAACCATGAAACCAAAATTACTACCTTGACAAACAAACATAACCAACAACAAAAACAACTAAAATTTTCAAATGGGCACTGCCAAAAATTACCAGCCGAGTTACTGAAGACAGCGATATCAGGTCCGAAAACTAATTTCCACTATTCCAACGAAGATCCAACAGGGTCCCAAAGCGTCAAGGAATAAGGTGCAATGATAGTATTATCCTCGTCGAACACCCTATCTATGTAATTCAGGCCAATCAATGTACCTAATATGCACATCTATTGCCTTTGATTTTATCCTTTTTGAATCTGAAAAGGAGTATGCAGTAAACTGAATTCTTTTAAGAATTGTATCCTTTTCAATAATTTCAACATAAATCCCCAAAATCACAAAAATGAAATTTCAACAGAAAACCCATTTAGAAAGGAAATTTACACATCTACACACATAATATTTAAACCACAAAAATACCCACCCCAAATCAGCTGAAGAACTTAGCCGTAAACGCTACCTTTTCAGGGCCAAAACTCTAAATTGCGTACCTTGAGTAGAGAGAGCTTCAGAAAACGACGCCGTTGGCGAACCAGCCTTTGATGCGGCTGCGGCACATGTGGTGGCGGTTCAATTTCGCCTGATTCACAATACAAAAAGGGTGTAAATACAACAATGAAACAACTTTTATCAGTAAGATTAAGACTAAAATTGCTGCATTTTAACATATCACGTACAACATGAAAATCACACACAATGTTTTGTATGATTAACTACAATCAATTACTATTTCTTAATTTTGAATCCAGTAACTCTAGAACTTCAATTAAAACTAAACTCTGAGATCCAAATATCATCAAAATTCATCAAAACCAAAATTTTCAGCAAATTAAACAAAAACCCAAATCTTTATTCAGCAAAATCCCCTAAAAAATTTCCAAAATCGAAAACTTTAAGAAAATTAAAGCAAAACCCACTAACCTTTGTAGCTACATTCCTGAGAAGCACAACTATAATATGCCTGGTGGAGTCATCAGCTTTCACCAGCAACACTCGCATGTTCATAATCGGCAGTAGCTTCTACCACCGCATCGTCCCGACAGAAGAATCGCACTTGCTGCGTTCTTCTCCGGAGAAAACAGAGAGCCACAATGTTAGTGAAGCTGGAGAGTTTGGAAAATCTCTCAATATCTTCTTCTCATCCTGATATTAGCCCTTGGATCTCGTTGGAGTTGACAGAAATCAACGAAGCCCTGTGCGATTTCATCGTTGTGAGCTGTGAGAGAGAATACGATGGTCACATCACGATTTTATCACCTGAAGGTCATGGGATCTGGGGAGGAAGAGAAAGAGAGTGATGAAGAGCATGGGATCTGGGGAGGAAGAGAAGAGAGTGATGAAGAGCATGGGTGGTACGCCCAATCGGTCCACAAACAGAGAAAACAGTAATTTGACAAAACAGTGCAGGAATTATAAAGGAGAAGAGAAGAGAATAGAGGCTGAAAAGGAAAGAAGAGTCAATATCATTCCTGCCCATTTCAGAATAAAACACATTATTTATACACATCTGAATAAGGAAACCCTAGCGTCAAACAAGCTGGGCCTTGAGCAAAACTTAGTTGGAGGCTAACAAGTGTGGGCTGGGATAAAGAGCTAAAAGGTCCAAACAAGATGGTCAGGATGGTCCTAACAACGGGATTTGGGGAGGAAGAGAAAGAGAGTGATGAAGAGCAATCGGAGCGAGGACGCTTTCCGACGGCTATATTCATCGCCGAGGGCGCGGTTGCCAGCCATCGATGTACCTCCAGTACGCATCCGGCTGTGATTGAGGCTTGTGACTGTCACTATATGCTTGGTTTGCGGGCTCCACAGCAAGAGACATGGGAGGGCGCCGAGGAGAGGAAGATTATGGTTTCAGTAAAGGAGAGAGGAAGTGAGAGAGAGAGAGAGGTGAAGATGCAGTCAATGCTCCTTTCACAAAACCAAACGCCCATCCCTCAATCACCCACAACAGCCTTGATTTGAGGATAAAAAAATCAACCCTAAATCCCTTTTTGGTAGCTTCAGTGCTCACTTCTCTCTCTCCCTTCCCCTCCCTGCCATCCTACGCCTATGTCCCTCTCTCTGCAACCCATGCTTTTTTGGCAGCATCACTCCACCTAACCCACCCCAATTAAACCGCCCCCACTCCTCCCTCTCTCTCTCTGTCTCGCTCTATCTCTCAGAGGAGGCATGGCCTCCCATCCCCGAAACCCTCAATGAATGACAACAAAAGATAATAATATTCAAGTGGGGCTAGGGTTTGTCTTGCGCAGGATATTACACAGCGGGTAAGATCATGCACTGAGTGCAATGTTCAACCTGCATGTCATGGCCCTCTTAATTCTCCTGAATTGTGTCTGATCCTCTCAATCAAAAGATACAAACAAAGAAGTTGAACAATTTGAGTAAAAAAGGGCAGCCAAGACTGTGTACTTGGGAGCAAGTGTAGGCCTAAATGCAACTAATGTGAGCTGGCTGATGCAGGTAACGTGGGAATTCAGAGCAACCTGTAGCCGGTACGCAGGGCTTTTTGGTTATCTTAAAATTGTGTTTTGCAAATTAGGGTCTTGTCATTGCTATTGCGAAGAAGGACATTGTTCACCGTCGAGAAAAAGTATACGTGTGATGTACATTATTCCTTGTTGGCTGTGCACGTAATCAACGGTGGTTAAAGGGTTAACCAGAGCTGTCCATTTAGGGGTTTATGAATTGAATGGGTTTCAATGCGATCCAGGCTTACAGCTTCATGTGGCACAGAAAGTGAAGGGCTTGTTTATGGATTGGAAGATCAATAACGTGATTCTGCTTCATGCATGCACTGACTGCATTGATACCCTACCAAACCCTATTAATTTGGCACCAAGACGATCTTGAAAAAAAGTACCACACGTTCTTGTGTGATTTGAATCTGAATAATTACATTTGTCTGAGATGATGTTTTTCTATACGGATGAGCATTTTAACCAAGTGAAATGCAATCTTTACTTTTTTTGTTAAGATGCAAATTTTAGTTTCAAATTTAATAACACACTTATTAAATTGAAAATACTTATAAGGATAGCTGTTAATTGTCTTATATGTCATAACTATCATTTTAATTGGGCTTAAGGCGTACATGTTTTTCTAGTTTAAAGATTGATTTGAGTTACTGAGTGTCTATGTAGAAATGATTACGAATAAAGTAGTGGAGATTGCATAAATAATGGCATAAAAACACATGTTACACAACTCAATGGTAGAATGGTAAATACCAAAAATGATTTTAAAAAGACATTTTTGACATCAATCAATAGTAAAAAGTAAGAATAAAAGTTTAATCCTAAAAAAAACATTTAAAGTACATGCAACTGTTGAGTTGCAATTAAATCTTGCTATTCATATTGATATGTAATTTTAGGTTCAAATTCAAGAACCTACTCGTTAAATTTAGAATTTGGAGATGCAATTAAAAAAAAACCTGACTCTAACAAGTGGAAGCCAGCCTCGTATCCCACACTAGTTCACCAACCAAATAGAAAATATTTATAAATATAGTTGTTAATTTCCTCATATGTCATAGCTATTTTTTTAGTTAGTCTTAAATGGTTCATGCTTTTCTAGTTAAGAATTAAGTTGAGTTGATGGGTTGTAGAAATGACTACACACAAAGCAAATCATCTAACATATGATATCACATATCATTTGACACATCAAATGATATATTATTACAAAAAGTTTACCCCATAGCGGTTTTCGGAAAGCCGGGCCAAGCCAGCCCGACCCAATGTTGTTAAAATATTTGTCCTGCTACTAAATCACCCGAGTTGGATGCGAGAAAATTATGAATACGTTGATATATTTATGAATAGTATGTGATGGGTTCTATAAGTACATATGCAAACTAAAATTCAGGTTTCAATCGAAAGAAAGAAATCCTAATGTTCTAACATAACAGACTACCTGAAAGTTTGAAACAGAGCATTTGCTCCCAAACGCCGGGATTAAATTTCGATCTGTACAGTTATACAACAGAAAATTTTGAAGTCGAATATTCAAGAGACCGGTAATATTCTACGTAACCTTAAAGCTACCTTGCAGCCATTTGACCTGCATTTCCAGGCCGGAATCTGTCAAGGCTTTCAAGGCGGACCGATATAACCTCCCATCCAACTCTGCCCCTTCCGCTTTCATATCTCTCAAAAGCTTCACCAGTTCATCAATCCGGCCCGTCTTGGAAAAAATTGCGACCATCATTCCAGCCAAAGCCTTGTCCAAAACACCCCCTTGAACCCTAAACTCATGGTAATATTTCATACACATTTCGTACTCCCCTGCCTTGTTGTAAGCACCTATAATCGTCGTGTAGCTTACCTTATCCGGCGCTATCTTCCTTCGCTTCATTTCCGTCCAAATCTTCGAAACTTGCCTCAAATTCTTGTCCCTTCCATGCATATCCATCAAAGAATTGTATATCCATACGTTTGGCTTACACCCTCTTTCCTTCATTTTCGCCACGAGCCTCATTGCGTCTCTTGGCCTCCCCGTTTTCCCATACATGACAACCATGCTAGAATAAGCCACAACACATTTACCAAACCCCTTTTCCTCCATCTCCTCAAAAACCTTTTCTGCTTTCGAGTGAAGCCCTAGGCGGCAATAGACATTGATGATTGACGCATATGTCACTTGCCCTGGCTGGCAGCCCATCGACACCAACTCTTCGAAAACTTTAACTGCAGTCAGGAGCCGGTTTTTCCTAGAGAAGCCACTGACAACCGCACAACATATATTGTCCGAAACCCTGATATTCGCACCCTTCATCGCCTTAACTACCCCGAGAGTCTTCTCCGTCAACCCTTCTTCCACATACATTGATATCATTCTTAAAAACGGATTCGGATCCTTCAACATTTTCTTGCTCTCTCCTTCTTCAAAAAGCTCTTCAGCCACCTCCACTTCTCGAATGCTCGCGAAGGAACAAATCAGCACAGAGTAAATCTTCGAAGAGTCTAAAGGAACTCCACTCTTCGTCACACTTCGAAAAGTTTCAAGAGCTTCAAAAGGCCTTCCCAATTTGCACAGCGACTCGCATAAAATTCCGTATATTTGAGTTGAAAATGGTGCCAAATCTAATTCCCTACTTTTCAGCTCTTCATACAATTCAACAACTTTTCTACAATCACCCTTTTTCAAATAAGCTTCCATGATCAGGCAATAACATCCAGAATTCGCAGCAATTCCATCGGATTCCATCCGTTCAAACACGGAAATCGTGCTCTTAAACATATGAAGCTCATTATATCCTCGCATCGCTGAATCAAAAGCCGGGACAGCGACATCATTTCCATGCTCACTAAACACATCAAGCAAAGTCCTAACAATTTTGAACTTCCTAGCTCTAATGCAGCTAGTGACCAATCTAGAGCAAGTATAACCATCAGGCACTACATTATAATTCTTAAAATCCTCACAAACCAAAGTAAACAAACCCCATTTCTTGGAACGGATCAAGTGCCTTATCAGCTGCTCCAATGTTGATTTGTTTGGTCTGAATTCGGCCTTCTTTCGCGCTTTCTCGTACTCTTCATATGCGTAATCTTCGGTTTGAGGGTTTTGAAACAACCGACAGAGTAAGTTGTTCAAGTCATCGGCATCCGGCGACGGAGCTGGACATTCTTCTGGGGATTTTTGTAATTTTATGTCCAATTCAACGACGGGAAAATTGGTGGAGTTTACATTGAAAACTCTGATATTACTGTAGCTGCTGGTGGGAAGATTGGAAGAGAATAAATTGGTTTTGAATGATGCGATGAAGTTGAATTTGCGGGGATTTTTGGATGAAATTACGCGAGCAGAAGACCAGTCTGCTGAAGTTGCAGCAGAACTGGCGATGGACATTGGAGGAGATAAGGCCGTTGAAGGCTTGGATGAAATGAGTGGGACGAAGACTGTGCCTCTTGTGTATATATACCCTATCCCAAACTGGATTTTTTGCCCTGCGTGTAAATCATATGAGCCACTCGTAATGCGACACTTGGAAAATTCAAGGACGTAGAGATATATCTGTTAAAACAAAGGCCACGTGACGTCCATTGACACGGGGATAGGATCCTCTTCGGATTTCTTCTAGGACACGTTTCTTCTTTTCTATTTCTTTCATCTGGATCCTTTGGACCCTTCAATCATGTCCATTCAACTGAAACCCCGTTCATTCAACCGAAAATCGATCGGTAAAAAACAAAAAGAGAAGAAGAAGAAAGAAGAAGAAGCAACCAAACCGCCAAGAAGAAAGAAGAAGAAGAAACGTGTTGTGTGAGGATCCAGGTGGAAGAGATCCGAAGAGGATCCTACTCCCATAACACGACCAAAGAGTACGAAGATTATTTTCTTTTCGGTCAAAATGAATCTCCTGCAACGCATGTCACTGTGGCAATCATTTTCTTTGGGTCAAAATGAATCCCGTGTCACACATGTTAATGTGGCCTTTTTGTTACTAAAATTAATGGGAGATTCGAACTGAGTGTTCTGGTTACGGATGTAAAGGTGAATATTTTTTAAGTTAAAAGTCATTTGTTACACTAATAATATAAACAAATTATATGAATCAAATGACGATTTTCAAAGAAAAACGTACATATTTATCTTTTATACATCCTATCTATAGTCACTTTTGGTCTTCGATCTTTCTGATTCAGAAGGAGAGCCAGCAGAGGATCGACCCCGTAAGAAATCGAAGATACACTTTGGCAGTGATGATGAAGGTGAGAGAGAATAACAATATCACTGCGTTTATCAGGAATCTCTGGAGGGATATTCACCTCTGTTGCTGACATTGGTTGTGCTGCTCTGGGTTTCACTGATTTGCTGGGATGAACAATATCACTCAACTGCTGCGGCGGGAGTTTTATGACGCCCTTAAAAGCAGGAGCTGCTGCAAATCTCGTAGCATAAATGTGAATGTGCTAGCTGCTGCAGAAGATCGGAAATACTATGGTAATTGCAAGTTTTGGGGTCAATTGTTCAAGGTTCATGTGTTCAGATGCAATCTTTGTGGACATAAAAGCCAACCAGTGCAGGGATGACAGATTGACATCTATGGAAAATTGTTTCCTAAGCCGCCCGTCCTACAAGCTTCACACCCTAAATCTGTTGAAGCAGGAACTAATCGATCTAGCAGTCGTGCCAATTCTGAGGAGGGGAGGAGTTGTAAGATTCTGCCTTCAGACTCTGGTGCGGGTTGAATCATTAGAGGCTAGTGTTGGGGACCGTCAAAATGCAGGTGAGGAACATTGCGCATCCAACGAGTCAAATCCAAAGTCTTCGCATGCTGATGCCGCTTCTGCATCCCAGCATGGAAGCAGTAAGGAAACTGGAAACCAGGGGAAGAACTAGGACAAGAACAAGTAAGTCGCTGCCGCTTCTGGATCCCAATGTGGCAGCGCTGGAAATCAGGGGAAGAAGGGGAAGAAGGGCAAGAAATAGCCAATGTATATGTAAGTGCTTAAGCGCTAATTAGCAGCTACTTAATCCGAAGCTAATCACCCGCAAGAACTTGACGCTTCTTTTTATATAAAATCACAAATTATGAAGTAGAATTATAAAGGTTCAAAATTTTTATTAATTGGATTGAAATGTAACAATTTTCTTCTTTCAAGACAACAGATGAACAAAACGAGCCTTTAAACAGAGGCAGAGCCTCAAAAACTCAATTCTCGTCACTCCCGAATAGCTTGACCCTCGACAATGGCTTCCTCAAGTACCCATCCACCTCAAACTTCTTCGGTGAAAGCTGCCGGTACTTCTCAAATTGCTCCGTCGCCTCTGCATTCCGATCAAGCAAACTGTAAATCATCCCACGGCAAAAGTACGGCCGGAAGTCTTTCGGGTCTTCCTTCACCAATTCATTGTAGCTTTTCAATGCGTCCTCCACATTCTTCTGCAAGAACTGAACCTGCGCCATTATCAATTTAACGTCCCGAGCCTCCTTGGCCTTGTTCTCCTCTTCCGCAACCTGCAATGCGTCCTCCAACCGCTTGATCACGGCCTCACCTTCGCCACAGCGGTCCATCAGCAGGGCGTTCTCGAACAACGCCTCGAAGGACAAGGGGTTCGCGGCGAGTATTTCCTCGAACACTTGGCGGGCGCTTTTATTTTCGCCCATTTCGCTGAGAAGCCTCGCCATCATGAACTTCCACTCGGTGTTGGAGGGCTGCGCCGCGACCAAGCGCTGCAGGATCTTGAGCGCCTCGTCGTCCTCGCCGTTTTCAAGCTTCTGCTGCAGAAGCGATTTCAGGGCACTGATGGCTTCCGAATTCGAACCCAGGAAGTCGGACAATGGCGATGAGGATTGGTTGTTCTCGTTATCTGTGACCTGGGTCGGCGCTTCTTCGGTCAATGTCGGCGGAGGTTCGGCTATGGCGAGCAAAGTCGATGACTTGGTGGTGAACACGGCGGCGGTGACTCCGATGAGAATGGCGGTTTTGGCGTACTGTTTAAGAGTTTGAAGAATCGGGCTTGGGTTGTTGTGGGTGTTACCTGGGAGGAGGGGGCGGTGGTGGTGGGCGGCGGAGGAGGCTATGACTTTGAGGGCAGGGACATTGTGGGAATTGTGGGAATGGGGAGGGTCAAAACGGAGAAGGGAAGGTTGGGTTGGTTTACTGGGAATGAGTTTGTATTGGAAGAGAGATGAGGATGTAGAGAAGGAGGAGGAAGCGAGAGTGGAGGAGGAGTTCATGGTTGAGCCGGCGGGTGAGGAGTGGCGGAGATGACAAGGTTTGGGAGGTTTTGTTTGGGGTTTCGGTGGTAGGTGGGGGAGGAGTCAGAGTGCGACTTTTACTTTTAGCGACAGTTGGTGTGGTTAAATTCTTTTTTTTTTGTAGTTCAAAATTTAGGTCTCGTTCTTTTTTTGCTTGATTATATATTACACCGACTTTTAAAAGGAGCCATCGGTTTGTTAATTTCAAATTTCATTTGATACTAATTTATTCGACCATTTACAATTTTTTCACATTACATTATGAAGTTTTAAAATTATATTAACTCATGTCTTCTATTTGTTTAATTGTATGATTATCTGCCAAATTGATGATGGGGGGACTCATTTTTGGGTTGCATGGAAGCCACGTTTTGCATTGACTGAGACTAAAGCGTGAGGGCAGTTGTCGTTTTGGCATACAAACCGTGGGGGCAATCCTGAGCTTGAACAAATGTCTAGTATCGTTGGATGGATCTAGAGCCTATGGATCAATTGATCCGGCCCGTTAAAATTTGATAAAACGGCTACAAACAGATTGTCTCACAAAAAGTTATAATAATTATAGCCGTTAGATCAAATTTCAATGGGCCGGATCAATTGATTCCCAGGCTCTGGATCCTTAGATCCGGAGAGAATCTGGATCCTTGTTGAATCGTCTGGGCCGTATATGTTCCTCCGGTCTACGGCACCTTGCAGAACAAAAGAAACAATGTTGTCTTAGGGTGTTCGTGGGAGAGAAGGGTTGGTGGTGGCTAAGGTAATGAAAAAGGAGACCGAGAAGAACATGTCGTTATAATTGTGTTTTTTGTACAATGTAGGCTTGAAAGACTAGTAATGATCGATGCATTCTGATGCTTTAGTTTTGCAACTCTCCTGCGTTAATCTTGTAGTTTTTTGCTCGTTTTTTTTCAATACAAAATCGATCATCATTCAGTACCACATTATTGCAATGCAACTTTTCTTTGCTGAATATCTACGATTTAAAGGCCTTTCTCTGATCTAGTCATCTGCAATAAACTGCTCCTTGTCAACTTATTTTTGGTGTGCTCTTGTTGTGCGGTAAAGAAGGCCGTAGCTCCAGTCCTTGTAGATTTGAGTTGCAGTGTCTCGATGTGACAAAATATAAAAGGTATTATATCTTGCTATGTTACAAAAGACAGAAGCGGGTTATAGAATTATGATATTACTTCTTGCTGTCGATCAAAGATAGTAGACCCCAATGAAGCATTGTTCATTTTTGTCCGTAGGAAGACCTTGTTCATTCCTGTCTATATATTTTGAAATGATTTTTTTTTTTTCAATTCAAAGTAGGGTGATCAACAAAAGTTGATAAAAAGATAGTAATACAGAGGGATACAAGGAAATTAATAGCCATCTCAATAAATATTTTCTATCTTGCTGGTCATCGAGTTAGCTTCCACTTGTTAAAGTAAAAGAAAATTTACTTGCATCTCCAAGTTTTGACTCGTTAAATAATAGAATGTGAAATCCCTTTCCCAGAATTCACTTACAATCATTATATCTCATATTTCGGGAATTTATTGTTATTTTTGTTAAATTTTGTTTTTTTAGTTAGTTATTGTTCGATTGTGACATAAGCAGCGGGGAAGGGTGGTTGCTAGGGATTTGCCCATTGTGAGGCTAAGTCATCCTCTTCCTTATCCGTTGTAAAAAAAAAAAAAACAATTATAAGGGTACATGTAAGTGAATTAAAACTTTAAGAGGTGTTAACGTAATATTTCAAACGTTCAAGTGGTGTTAACGTAATTAACCCAAATAAATAGGTCTTAAATTTGGTTATTTTTCCATATTTCACTCATAAGTTCATATAACAAAACGTGAAAACGCCAAAAAAAAAAAAAAAAGAAGGAAAAATCGAGGCAATCGAAAAGAAAATGGCGATGATAGTACAATTGCTTAACAATCCCTGCCGCGGCCGAGGTCTTCCTGATCATCTAAAGCTTTGTCCTTGTAATTTTATCCAAACCCAAACCCTAAGTTCTACCCGGTCCTCACTGTTTTCACCACCAACTCCTTCCACTGAGATACCCACGTTCGAACCAACTTCCCAACATCATCGAGGCCACTTCTCCACATCAGGTATTCTTGTCTATATTTGTTCTTTTGTGGGTTTTTTTTTTATATACATTTTTAGATTTTTTTTTATTGAAAATAAAATATTTCATGGCAATTTTTTTCATTGGACTAGTTGTTCGGTCATTGAGAGATTGCATGATCGAATTAAGCTGTAGGCACAATGGAATGCATTCTGTTAAATCCATACTTAGGTAATTTTTTTTTTTCTCTGTTTTGATGGTTTATGTAGTTTTGTATAAATTGTTTATTTATTTGTATAATGGCCTATTCAAGCACGTCATCTCATATAAAAGATATGTCAAGTATTATTCTATTGATTCCATCGAATACAACAACAAAGCTTTTGGACATTAAGTTAAAGTATAATGAATATCAAGAGTTTCAACATCTGTTTTCATTTAAGACTTGTAATATATAATTCGTGCAAATCTTACTATATTCCCCTGCTATCTTATTTTCCAAAATAAGAAATTGTCCAAGTCCACTTGACAATGATGGGAGGCATTCTCCATCTATATTTCTTTTGCAAAACTTTTTGAACAACGTGTTGATTGCCCAAGGGGTTAGCTCACAATTGGAAAATTAGATTACAACTAGCTATTGGACAAGCTAAATATAATGATTGGACCAGCATGGTAATAAAATTTTGCAACTTCAAGGAAGATAGTGCTTGAGATTTCCTAAGATTTAGTCAAATTTTGGTGGACCACACCCGTGACGAGTTATTTTACATGTCTTGTTTGTTGTTCAAGTTTAAACTTTTAAATTTTGTTTAATATTTTTCCTTTTATTTTTTTAGTTATCTTTGACTGACGTTAAACTTGACGTAGCCTTAAGTCAGGCTTACCGTGGGTTCTTACATGTCACTTTCAAAGTAGTTTCCAAGTCAAACAATACCTAGTGGAGTTTACGTCAACGTAGAGTTTCGAGTAAGTTATTAGATTCATGTCATATTCTTATTATTAGTTATTTATATATCTTGGGGAATAGAGTAAAGTAAAAGTGGTGTACTGTTTCTATTATTACAAGACTTCGCTATCTTAATGGACAGTAATGAATTCGAATTAGCTCCGAGCTGCCCTTCATTTCGGATGGTGAGATGAGTGAAGACTCTCAAGTAAGAGGATCAAACATTTGGCGAAAGCTTTGAGGACTTGAACATGTAATCAGTGTGATGCATAAGATTTTGGAACTAAATCACACCGATTACACGTTCAAGTCCTCAAAGCTTTCACCAAATGTTTGATCCTCTTACTTGAAAGTCTTCACTCGTCTCACCATCCGAAATTGAGGGCAGCTCGGAGCTAATTCAAATTCAGTATTGTCCATTGAGATAACGAAGTCCCTGTAACAATATAAACAGTACACCCACTTTTATTTTACTATATTCCGCAAGTTATATAAAATAATAATTAATAATCAATAATAAAAATATGACATGAATTTAATAACTTGCTCGAAGCTCCACGTTGACGTAAACTCCACTAGGTATTGTTTGACTTCGAAAATGACATGTAAGATCCCAGGGTAAGCCTGATTTAAGGCTACGTCAAGTTCAACGCCAGTCAAAGACAACTAAAAAAACAAAGGAGAAATATTAAACAAAATTTAAAAGTTTAAAGTTGAACAACAAAAAAGACATGTAAAATACCACGTCGCGGGTGTAGACCACAAAAATTTGAATAAATCTTAGGAAATCTCAGGCACCATCTTCCTTGAAGTTGCAAAATTTGATTACCATGCTGGTCCAATCATTATATTTAGCTTGTTCAATAGCTAGTTGTAAACTAATATTCCAATTGTGAGTTGGACTAACCCTTTGGGCAATCAACATGTTATTCAAAAAGTTTTGCATAAGAGATATAGATGGAGAATGCCTCCCATCATCGTCAATTAGACTGCTGCCAGTGGACAAGTCCACTAACGGTAATAGTTTCTTATTTTAGAAAATAAGATAGAAAAGAATATAGTAAGATTCGCAAGAATTATATATCCAAGTCTTAAATGAAAACAGGTGTTGAAAATCTTAATATTCATAGTCCTCTAACTTAATGTCCAGAAGACCAAAACTCCAAGAGGAGCAAAATCTTTTCGGATGTCATGATTTGAAGTATTAGTGCAACTCAATTCAAAAGCTTTGTTAATTTGAAGTATTAGTGCAACTCAATTCAAAAGCTGTTGTTGTATACGATGGAATCAACAGAAATATCAATAGAATAATACTTGTTATGTCTTTTGCATGAGATGACGTGCTTGAATAGGACCCTATACGAATAAATAAACAATTCACAATTTATACAAAACTACACAAACCATCAAACAAAGAAAAAAATTACCTGAGTACGGATTTAATAGAATGCATTCCACTATGCCTATGGCTTGATTCGAGCATGCAATCTCGCAACGACGAACTAGTCCAATGAAAAAAATTGCTGTGAAATATTCTATTTTCAATAAAAAAATCTACAAATATATAAAAATAAATAAAAAAACCCACAAAAGAACAAATATAGACAAGAATTCCTCTTGTGGAGAAGAGGTCTCGGTGATACTAGGAAGTTGGTTCGAACGCGGGTGTCTCAGTGGAAGGAGTTGGTGGTGAAAACGGTGAGGACTGGGTAGAACTTAGGGTTTGGGTAAAATTACAAGGAAAAGCTTCAGATGATCGGGAAGACGTCGGTAGCGATCGTGCTAGGGATTGCTACGATTGTCAAGTAATCGTACTATCATCACCATTATCATCATCCATAATAAGTCTTTTCCTTATATCCAAATATGTTATATAGCTTCTTCGGTGTCCCAATTGGAGAAAAACTATGATGCAATTAAAGTGGAATTTAAAAAAAATTAGTATTGTTATACTAAAAAGTTAAAAAAAATGAAAATGTATATTTAATTACTACACCATTATTTTAATAGGCAATGTATACAAGTAAATTTCTTCCGACCAATGGCCAATCTTCTTGGTTAAATAATATGTAGAAAACGTTTAACTGAAATGCTTAGAATACAAATAATATCTCAATTCTCCAAAATATACCAACTAATATTAACACGTGAACAATGTTGATCAAAAGAGGAAGTTAAAGATCACTAGGACTTAAGTAATGCATGATCTTGCACCGAGTGTAATATATTACAATATCAAATAATATAAAGGCTTGCTACCAAAAAAAATAAAAATAATTTAAAGGCAAAACAGAAAGCTTGGCTGCTTGTTAAATACTTAGATAATGATATCAAATGATTCTATTTCAACATGTATTATCACATTCTTGAGCTGGTAAGGCAACTAAGCTTCATCCCCTTGTTTTATTAATATCTTCCATGTGCATGCTTGGCTTGCTTTCATTTTCCTATATAATTGTCCCTTAACCTCAGCTCATTTTTCTTTCACTCTCACATCTAATCACCCACACCCAGTGATCTACGTAGCCAAAAATGAACTCAAAAATATTCTTTCTAATACAAATTGGGTAGCAGAAAGTATGAAGGTTGGTCATGCAGCTAAGGAACGATGTCGTTCCTCTATTTACTAAGAACTTCCGTGCAATTTGCACAAGGGAGAAAGGGATGGGAGATTTTGGTTATCCGCTCCATTATAAGGGAACAAAAATTATAAAAGTGTCAAGGGGAGGCAATTGGAGGGAAATGACATTCATTTTGGTGCGAAACCTAAAGGGGTGAACATCTTTTTCAAAGAGATTTTTATTTATCATCAGTTATCCCAAAAAAACAACAAAACACATAAACACTTCAATATCAATGAGGTGGTAGTAGAGCTAGTACATGGATTATCCCAAAGGTTTCAACCGTCTTCCTCACACCAAATGGTCACTATCCATGTGCCATAATGGAGAAGATAAGTTCCGCTCTAAATTTTTTATTATATTCAATTTCATACCTGAATATGATAATTTATTTATTGTTATTGGGAAGGTAATCAAAGACAATGATGAAATTTTGGATGCTATAAAGCGTTGTGGTTCAAGGAAAAGTGAGCGAAGATATTACAATCATCAACTGTTGGGAAGTTAAGGATGGCGATAATGGAGGGGCTTAGACCTCGACATGAGGTTTTCTATGTGTTTTTTTTAATTGCTACTTTCTCTGCTTTCTTTTGGTGCTTAATTTCCATTTTTTTTTTCTTTCAGTGTTTTTCTTTTCTTTCCTTTCTATGTCGTTCGAACGTATGCTGTTGTTTGAATTTTATGAAATAAAATGATCAGTTAATAATTTATTTTAATGATTTTATGATGTTCTTAATTTTTAACTTATTATTTTACTATATAAAATTCAAGCAACAGCATACTTTACAACGGCATAAAGGAAAGAAAAGACAAAATACCGAAAGAAAAAAAAACACAAAAAATTAAGCACCAAAAGAAAGCAGAGAAAGAAGCAATTATAAAAAACACAGAAAACCTCATGCCAAGGTTGAAGCCACTCTATTATCGCCATCCTTAACTACCCTTCAGTAGATGATTGTAATATCTTTGCTCACTTTTCCTTGAAGTGAACCATATAACTCTATAGCATCCAAAATTTCATCATTGTCTTCGATTACCTTACCAATAACAATAAACGAATTATCATATTCAAGTATGTCATTGAATGTAATAAAAAACTTGGAGAGGGAACTTATCTTATTCATCACGGCACATGGACAGTGACCATTTGGTGTGAGGAAGACGGATGACACATTTGGGATAATCCATATATTGGCTTAAGTATCATATCATTGATATTGAAGTGCTTATATTTATTTGCTGTTTTTTTTTTTTTGGGATAACTGATGGTATATGGGAAACCCCTTTGATATAGATGTTTTCCCTCAAGGCTCTGCACCATAATGAATGTCCCCTCCCCCAACTGCCTCCCCTAACCATTTTTGTAACTTGCATTCCCTTATAATCAAGCGGATAACCAAAAGCTCACACCCTTTTCTCTTTTGTGCAAAATGCATGAAAGTTCTCAACAAATAGAGGAACAACATCATTCCTTAGCTGCATAACCACTCTCCCTACTTTCTACCACCCAATTTGTATTAGAAAAAACAATTTTGAGTTCAATTTTGGCTATGTAGATCACTGGGTGTGAGAGATACAGGTGTGGGTGATTAGATATGAGAGTGAAAGAAAAATGAGCTGAGATAAAGTGAGGTTGAGGGACAGTTATATAGGGAAATGAAAGCAAGCCAAGCAAAACCAAGCATGCAGACGGACAATAACAATAAAACAAGGGGTTGAAGCCGAGCTGAGCTCCTCTACAGGCTCAAGAATATGATAATACATGTTGAAATAGAATCATTTGATACCATTATCTAAGTATTTAACAAGCAGCTATGCCAAGCCGTCTGTTTTTCCCTTACATTTTTTTTTTGTAGCAAGCCTTTACATTATTTGATATCGTAATATATTACACAAGGTACAAAATCATACATTAATCTAGTCCTAGTGATCTTCTACTTCCTATTTTGATCAACATTGTTCACTTGTTAATATTAGTTGATATATTTTGAAGAATTGTGATATTATTTGTATTATGAACATCATTTTACACTTGAAACTACTTATACGTTGAGTTAATGAATGAGCATTCCAGTTAATCATTTTCTACATATTATTTAACTAAGGAGATTACCATGGTCATTACCAAATTGACAGTAAATAAGTTTACTTATATATTGCCTCTTAAAATAAGGGTATAGTATGCAAATACACTTTCATGCATTTTAACTTTTTAGTATAACAATACTAATTTTTTTGAAATACCACCTTAATTGCATCCCAATTTTGCATCCCAATTTCTCCAATTGGGAAACCAAAGAAGAAGCCATAAAATATATTTGGATATAAGGAAAATACTTATTATGGATGATAAAAATGTGCCCTTAAGAAAAAGGCTTATTACATTCATCATCACATATTGTTGAATAAATCTCATATACTTAATCTTAATAAACCTCACATATTTTTCTATAATACCATCACACCCCTACATTTTCAACATACACCGTATATTTTCCACAACACTTGCACCCCACATTTTTTATGCATCTTCACATCTTATAGTACTTATTTTTAATTTTATAAATTAAATTGACTTGGGAGTAAACCCTCTCTGAGAATCATACAGCTCAATTATTTGCTAAAAATCATACACCTCAAGGTGAAAATTATTTGAAATAACAGGCTTAAATAAATATTGGGTAGTATGGTTTCTTGGGGGAATCACACGCAAGTATTTGGGAAGAAAGAAAAAAAGCCCTCCTATGAATTAATTTAAGCCTATTACATTGTAACCCAGACTGAGCTGATAACACAGACTTGTAGCTTAAAATCCATAAGTATATTAGAAAGGCTTAAATAACACAAACTTATGGCCTAAATAAGGCATATATTTTGGGAAGCAAAAGCAAGCTTAAATAATTACCGATGTCTGTTTTTTAGTACAATGATATATTTTTACACTATGGAATGGGAAGTTTGGCTATGACACACCCCGACTCGGAATGTCCACCTGGACATCCGAATCGCGATGTGCTAGCCAAGACTTGGAAGTGACTAAATTAGAGTGCGCATGTGAGCGGAGATATAACCCATATCACATAAGTGATGTCAGAGCATAGATAAATTGCAATAAAAAAAAAGAGTATAGATATTTATACCGAAAAGAGAAGTCTCGTACGTAATAGCTTTACCAACAATCCTCATTGTCATGAAACCTCTGCCACTAAAATCATGAATGGGCAAAAAACAAGGGTGAGTAAAGTTTTCTAAAACCTTTTCAAAAAATGTAACCCCTGCAAACCAAGTATATGGTTTCCCAAAAATATTACCATAGTAGTATGTAATAGGTACCCTGCAGCAAAAGTGAGTCAAAAATGTAGGGCACAACAAGAAGGTATCTCAATATTAAATCACAAACCGTAAATCAATGCTAATTCATTTATGTAGGCACATAAGTCCATTGCAAAGGTATTCAAACAATGGAACAGGCACATGACTTTGTATTAGAACTTCACCAGAAATTGAGGTAATTCATCAGAGCATCAACACAGACGAAATCGAGTCAAATCCTCTTCGGATTCGACAAGACTCGCCAAATTTTCTTGCCGGAGCTAGGGAGTTTCCCAGGGTTAAAACCTTCGAATCTCAACTCGAAACTAACATATAAGGGTTTTAGGACATTACCTCAGATGAGGAACTCGTCGGAGTTCCGTCGGAGAAGCTTGCCGAAAACTGGAGATTCGAAGAACACAGCATGCATGAATAAATAGTCCCCAACTCAATGAATTTAACTTCCAAAATCTTAGAAAATACAATCTAAGAAACTCAGGGACTTACCTAAAACATATTTAGGTACAATTGGGGGCGGGGGGAATCGAATCCACTTCGGATTCGACGGATTTCCTTCGAACACACCCGTCAATTTCTGGAAAACAAGAATAGAGTGCATGCACAGATTAGTACCTTCCATTTGGACTGAAAACCACTCAACAAAACAGAATAGGGCAGTGAGCCTCACCTGAGTTCGAGTTTCAGAGATTTGAAGCTCTCGGCTTCAATGGCAGAACACACAGAGGTGTTCTAATAATGCATGCAAGGTTACACCTGAGTTCCCCAGGTCCCAAGGATTCTAGATATATATGGTTTTGGTGTTGGATTTGTGGTGAGAGTGAGGGTTCTCCGTCAGTGCTAAAGAGAGAGTGTCGAGAGACAAAGAGAGTTTTAGAAGAGAGTTCCGCAAATCATGAGGGAAGAAGTTGGGTGGGTAAAGAGAGAAGAGAGAACCGGTTTTTAAAAAAAAAACAAAAATGATGGTGGTGTCTGTGTGAGTTGATGGGACACAACAAGGGGTTTTCAAAACCCAACAAAATAAAAAAAAAATTTCCTTCCCACTTGCATCGGTTAGTACATGCAGGTAATAACTCCGCAAAAGGCAGATTTCAGTGTCCCAAAAACAACCAGCACGCTGCACAAGAAAATTTATCTCAGGTAAATTTAAATTAATTCGAAAATAACTTGATCGTTATAATTTTGGATTAAGTTTTGTTTATGGTCACGTAAGTATCATTTATGTAAATAATTTATTACTCTTATTGATTAGAAGAAGATTAAGGCAAAAAATACGAATGGGAGATTGATGTAAGCCAGAACTTCAGAACACCAAGCACATGGACTACCATGACTCAGATGTCCTGTTTAATTTTTTATCAGTGGTCATTCATGATTCACCGGTGGAGATATTTGGTCAGCTATCTCCCTTGTTGGAGATATTATGATTCTGCCTACCCTATCCTGGGATTCCTATCTCTCCTCTCCCTATACAATTTTCCGACAAGTTGAAATAAAGATTTTTTTTTTTTTAGTAACCATTGAAAAATGCCTACAGACTCCCACTGATAAAAGAAAGGAACGTTTGTTTTACCAAAAAAAAAAAAAAATGAAAGTTTGCACACTTAAGCACGCAAAAGATCGAGACATTTATACATGCATACCTATGCTTGTGCAAACTTTCCTTCCTTTTTTTTTTTGAGAACTTTAACGAAAAACTTCCGGTACTATTCACTTTAACGAAAAATCACATTTTTACACTAAAAAGTCAATCCTGGTACTATTCACTTTACCCTTTATTTTGTCCTTATCATTAAAACTCAAAGTTTTCAAGCCCTTTTCATTAGTTTTCCTTTTTTTTTTGGGTAAAACAAACGTTTCTTTTCTTTTATCAGTGAGAGTCCGTAAGCATTTTTCAATGGCTACAAATTTTTTTTTTTGGGTAAAACAAAAGTTCCTTTCTTGTATCAGTGAGAGTCTGAAGGCATTTTTCAATGGATAAGGATTGTCTGCCTTACATTTTCCATGTCATTTCATGCTTTCTTATTTTGTGTTGTCACGGTTAAGTCAAGTTAATATTTTATATTATTTTTTTTATAAAAATAATAAGACAAAAATAAATAGTAATATAAAATGTTGACATAACTTAACCATGACCACACAAACAAACAGAAAGACATGAAAAAAAGGAAGAGCAGACAATCCTTGGCCTTTTTCAATGGCTACAAAAAAAAAAAACTCATTATTTCAGCTTGTCGGAAAATTGTATAGGGGGAGGAGGGATGGGAACCCCAGGATGGGTGTAGGCAGAATCATAATATCTCCAACAAGGGAGTTAGCTGACCAAATATCTCCACCGGTGAATCATGAATGACCACTGATAAAAAATTAAGCAGGACATCTGAGTCAAGGTAGTCCCATGTGCTTGTGTGTTATGGCTTACATCAATCTGCCATTACTATTTTTGCCTATCTTCTTCTGATCAATAAAATTAATAAATTATTTACATGATGGTACTCATTTTTACGAAGCAAACGAATTTAATTCGAAATTATAATGATTAAGTTATTTTCAAAATAGTGTAAATTTAGCTGAGATAAAGCCTAATTTTCTTGTGTGTGCACCACTGCATGGTTGTTTTTGGAAAACTGAAATCTGCCTTTTCGCGGAGTTATTACCTGCATGTACTAACCGATGCAAGTGGGAAGAAAAAAAATATTTTATTTTGTTAGGTTTTGAAAACGGATTGTCTGCCCTCTTAGGTGTGGTGTCCTTCCATGCCCTCCTATTTTGTGCGGTCACGGTTAAGTCACGTCAATATTTTATATTAATTTTTTAATGAAATAATAAGACAAAAAACAATAAAAATATAAAATATTAACGTGTCTTCGCACAAAATAGGAGAACATGAAAGGACAACACATGGCAGACATTCCTTATCATTTGAAAACCCCTTGTTGTGTCCCATCAACTCACACACATCAGCATCAGTTTTGTTTTTTTTCAAAACCGGTTCTCTCTTCTCCCTCTAGCCACTCAACTTCTTCCCTCATGATTTGCAGAACTCTCTTCTAAAACTCTCGTTCTCTCTCGACATTCTCTCTTTAGCACTGAGAGAGAATATTTCGGCAAACCAATATCGAAAACTATAGCGAAATCCCTTTATAATTAATAACCATTGCTTGTTTATACGTTAGGCTAGGGCAATGTGCCCATGCTTTGGGCTCGAGTTGAAGTAGAACAGTAGCAAATTCCTACAAATATTGAATGCAGTAAGAAACAGACACATACATATAAACTCAACCTAAGCATATAACAACTCAGTTTCTAATGGCATATTTGGTTTCAAATTTAACAAATTGAGGCAGAAAAAAAAGAGATACACCCTTAAGTGTTGGTGGTGAGATTGCATTTTTATTTGATGTAGTTCTTACTGCATTCGATATTTGTAGGAATTCACTACTGTTCTACTTCAACTCGAGCCCAAAGAATGGGCACATTGCCCTAGCCTACCGTATAATCAAGCAATGCTTATTAATTATAAAGGAATTTCACTTAGTTTTCGATGTTGGTTTGCCGAAATATTTACCGTATAATTGCTTTAATTATCTTCTGTAACTTTTCAAGCCACCTTGATTGCAATCCCAATCCGGTAAATGCGCAATGTTTAGTGAGTTGTATTTAATAATCATTAAAAAATATATATATAACTGCTCATGCACATTGCATGCTCAAAGGATACACATGTCCTGCACACTAAATGCTCAATACATGCACATGATATGCAAACTGCATACTGAAACATGCACATGGCAAGACAAACACCGATCTGCTAAGTACTAAAATTACGATAACATTTAACCGAATAAACCACAAACTGTACAAAACTTAAAACAAAACCGAATTGCAAAAGTTAACCAAATAAATGCAGTCAAATAAATGTTGTCCAACTTTGGTTCGGACAATTACCAAACGATAAGCTCAAGACCAAATCTGTTTCCATACAAATCAACTAATGCAATAGCAACTACTGATAGTTGTAAGAGTAAAAATATGGCACGAAAGGACTCATGCCGGCACATCCTTGTCCTGGTATCATATTCCATAGGCCTGATTAAACTTGGCTATCTAACTCCTTCAGTCTTCCGCCACTTCATCCTCAAATTCAAGAGTTCGCTGTATACATAGCTGTCAAAGCATTAAAAACGCCAACAAATGAGCAGGATTTGAAGGCCATGAGAATGGATATCAAATGACAACTACAGTGCAGATTTAAAAGCATCCGTTGGTTGATTGCTCAATGCCCTGTACCTCTCCTTGTCCTTGTAGTACATTGTACATATATACAGTCGCGAGAGAGAGAGAGAGGTGATTGAGTGATGATTCGATCAAAGGTGAGAGATGGTAGCTGGTACTGGTGCTTCTGCTTTCTTAGAGAGAGAGAGAACCTAACACGTTCAGTCTTGGACTTGTTGACATAGATCAACCCTAGACTAGTATTACTAGTAACTACTATGAGAGGGCTTGCTCCATGTGTGGTCATTTCTACATAGAGACCCATCAACTCAACTCAATTCTTAAACAAAAAATGGATGTACAATTTAAGTCCAATTAAAAAGATAGTCATGACACATGGGAAATTTAACAGCTATCCATGGATATTTTCTGTTTGGCTAGTGAAGTGGGTTGGGAACCAAGCAAGCTTCCACTGGTTTAATGAGTGAATTCTTGAATTTGAATATAATATTGCATTTCAATTGAATCTAAAATTACATCATCTCAAACACATGTAATTAGTCAGGTTCAAACCACACAAGAACGTGAGGCATTTTTTCTTTCAAGATTGTCTTGGTGCTAAAACTAAAAGGGTTTGGTAGGGCATCAATGCAGTTGGGTCATGCATGCAGCAAAATCAAGTTATTGATCTTTCAATTCATAAACAGGCCCTTCAGTTTATGTGCCACACAAAAGTTGTACAGCATACAAACTCATACAATTCAATTTTTTTCCCATCATCATCTCTCTTTCTCTTTGCTGCTTTTAAAGTACCTAAAAATTAATATGAAATAACACCATGCATACTATAGACTCATAAAAAAGGGATGGAAGAAGGAGAAAGGAAAGGATTTTTGGAAGGTAGCGAGTAAAAAACCCAACAACTTGAAGAAGAGGGTTATCCACCAACCACCCCTTACCAATTATTTATACTTAGGATGTGTTATCCACGCTCTTTGTTAATTTATGTCATTTGATATTCTTTAATTTATTTAATTCGACAACCGCAAATTGAGATGAGCGATTCATCAATGTATTTATTTTTAGTATTTAAATGTAGGTAATTAACATTTAGGCCGTTCATAGTGCACCATAAATTTAAGATAAATAGAAAGCTATGCCTACAGGTTGCTCTGAATTCGCAGGTTACTTCATGTGCATCTGCTAGCTCACATTAGATGCAATTAGGCATGCACTTGCTCCAAGTACACTGGCCTGTCTGTTCCTTTTTCTCAAATTGTTCAACTTCTTTGTTTCTTTTGATTGAGAGGATCAGATTCACTTTACGAGATCAAGAGGGCGTGGCAGGCTGAGCATTTGCACTCCATCTATGATCCTACCTGTTGTGTAATATCCTACGATTTCATATGATATCTCACACTTGCACCTCTCTTTTTCTTAAGGGCACATTTTATCATCCATAATAAGCCTTTTTCCTTAAATCCAAATATGTTATATAGCTTCTTCTTTGGTGTTCCAATTGGAGAAAAACTAGGATTCAATTAAGGTGATATTTCAAAAAAAATAGTATTGTTATACTAAAAAGTTAAAATACATGAAAGTGTATACTTTTGCTTACTATACCATTATTTTAAGAGGCAATGTATATAAGTAAACTTCTTTCCTGCCAATTTGGCAATGGTCATGGTAATCTCCTTAGTTAAATAATATGTAGAAAATGTTTAACTGGATGCTCATTCATTAACCCAACGTATAAGTAGTTTCAAGTGTAAAATAATGTTCAGAATACAAATAATATCACAATTCTCCAAAATACATCAACTAATATTAACATGTCAACAAAAGTCTATGATTTCGCCTCATATGACATTTTCGTAAATTCATACTTCGAATTATAAAAACCGTGAAATTTTGAGACGGGTTGTTACTTGTTACATCAAGAATAGAGGATAAAATAACGGTGAGTATGAAATTAAGAACATATATTAAAGGCATATATCATTGGTTTCGTCTCAAACATTTCGTCCACAGGAGGCAGCGTCTGTACAAAACGCACAGCGAGGTGAGTGAATCATTTCGTCGAACACCTTGCGTGCAAATATTCAGAGTCAAATTAAGAACATATACTAAAGGCATATATCATTGGTTTCGTGTGTGAGAGAGTGACAGAGAATGAGAAAGTGAAAGAGGAAAGAGGAAATAGGTCATACTAGATTAGGCTTGTAGAGATTGTGGACGACGGAGGCCCCTGCGAGAAGAGAAGCCACAACGACGACGGAGGACCAAGCCAGAGATGGAGTGCCCGTTGGCGGCCTCCCTCCCCCAAATTCCCGATTCATCCCTAACCTAACACAACACAATCGGCGGCGGCGCCTCAATTGAGATTCCGGCTCCTTTTTTTTTCTCTCGCTCTCTTTTTGTTTTTTATGTAATTCCCGCCCGCGGTTTTTTTTTTTTTTTCCCTAGCACGCGCGACGTGTTCTCTTAATGGGCTTCAAGCGAACTTCATTTTCCTTGGTGTAATTAGGGCCTTTTAATTTTTTGTTTGTATGGCCCACGTAACAAAAAGAAGAAATTCTTTTGTTGGTTTACTTTCTTCTCCACTTCCGGATTATAATCGAACAGTAGGTGATCATAATTTTCTTGGATCATAGGGCATGGGAGAAAGAGACTGATATTGGAGAAAAATTAGATAACTAGATTAATTGGTGACCTAGAAATAGACAATTTTGAACTTTCAATTATCAAGAAACCTTGCAGAATCATTAAAAAAAAAAAAGATAGATGGAGAACGTTTAAATGAGAAGGTTACTCGCCTTTTTGAAATTGAAAAGGAATCTGTTTTTTTACTAGCATCCCAATTTAATTTTATGCTTACACAACTAGCTCCAAAGGTGTAGTGCAACATTTTCGAAATTTCATATAACTTTTCACCCGCATATTCTAATTCATGATTTCTTAAGTGTTTACCAATACACAAAATAAAGAAATATGTGAGTTTTACATGACAATTTGTAATTCAATACATGAAAACCCATGATTTAGATTCATTAGGGGCCACTTGATCTCATACACGTTCATTTTTTCTCTTATTTTCGAATTCCCCGATATGTAGACGCGCATAACTCATTATATTATCGAACCCACTTAGTTTTGTGTATCTAAAAAGAACAAAAACATCTATAAGCACAACAGAAGAATGTCAAGAAACAAGAGGAGCAATAAAGAATGAAACCATGTCGGAACAGGTTGATTTAATCAATTAGCATAAGCGAACCCAATTTATAGAGGGTTCAATAAATCTCTCTCATTACACAAGCACAGCCCACAGGCTCATTTCTTCCACACAGATTAAAAAATATTATACAAGAAATTAGCATTGTTTGGTGCATATGCATCTACGGCGGAAGCCACGGCATTGTCCTCCACTGGAGCCCTCTAATTTGCAGGTGTCTACGCAGTTGTTTGTGAAGAAGCACACTCCCTTGAACTTGCTACTCGGATGAGAATCGCACTTCTTTTTCTCAGCTGCTCCCTTGCTAGTCATGCCACTCCTTCCCTCAGCGGCCATTGGCCCCATCCCTGTCAAATTCAAACTCATTAAAACGACATCAATCTTTAGTTTAAGATCATATTAAATAAGAAAGGAGATAAGTTCGAGATTGTTTATGGAAGGCTAAAAGTACATTCGGACAATAAAATACGCTTCTAATTATGTTTGATAGAAAAATTTATAAAATATTTTGAGTCGTGAAAATGGAAGTACTTCATTTTCAATAAAAAATTGTACATATTTAAAATAAAAGGCAAAAGCGTGTATTAGCACAATTGCTTCTTTCATACCAGTAGTGACCAAAAGCAAGATGAGAACGAAAGCAGCTGAAACAAAACGCATTGAGGGCTCCATCTTTGATATGTGCGCACGTGTATATGTGAGTGTGTGCTTGTGTATGAAATAAAGAGCAAATTTTGCTAATGCAAAGAACTATAACCATGCATGGCTTATATAGGGAAAGAAGATCCATCTCCGAAAACGAAGCTTAGCTCCATAGCCAAAATAAGCAGTTGAAAAATTCCAACTTAAAGAGGCACCACAAACCAACTTCCTATTTTTGTGAACTAACTTTCAGCTTCATAATTTAGGTTACTGTAACCTACGTACATTTTTGTATTTGGGTGGTGTTATTCACACATTTTGACCTCTTACATTTTTCTCTCAATTTTTAGTTTTCGGATCGAATGTCATGAAGAAAGATTAATAGACAAAAATTAATAAATATGTAAAATAGATAAAAAGGGACGTGTGTGAATAACACTACATTTTTCATGTACATATGACCTTTCTAACAAAACCATAATATAGTACACTTCCCCTTGATCAATTTCATTCTTTCTTTCTTGGTCCCCATTAATGAAAGGTACACCAAAAAAATAAAGACCTATATAAAAAGGTTAATGCGAGTGCTGTATATATGATTTAATTTCCATCTACAAATTCCATTCCACTTTTTTGGTTACATATACATAACACCTTTTTAACAAGCTTATAACAGTTAAGATTTCAAACTTAGGGTTAGAAACTTGGAATGATATTATAAATAAATATAATTTCTTAAAAATGCATACTATAGCAATAGCATACAGAAGTGGGAGAAAATATGAAAGTGTTTTAAAAAAATATGTGGAATAGTCTTTTAAAATATGATTGAAAGGTCAAGGGTTCGAGTCGTGGAAGTAGTCTCTTTGCAAAGCAAGGATAAGATTGTGTACGATAAACTTTCTCGTCCCTCCGACCCTCGCAAATCAGATGTCTTATTGGCTTAAGGTCACCATTTTTCGTCATTTAAAATAAGAAAGAAAATATTATCTTAAAGAACTATTTCTTCTAAAATAAAAATAAAAATAGGGAACTTTAACGAAAAACTCCCGGTTCACTTTAACGAAAAACCACATTTTTACACTAATTATGAAGTCTTTCAAGTCATTTTTCATTAGTTTTCCTATAAAAATATTAAGTCTTTCCTTAAAAGATGCTTAAGCAACTCCGAACCCTTTTCATAATATTTTCTGGCGCATCAATCTCCCCTTGTCCTACATATTATTATTGGTTGAAGAGTCGAAAGAACTTAATACAACCGAAGGTTTGAACAAAAAGTTCCATCTGACACCGACAATGTGACTTAACAATCTTTGTGATACAAACTAAAGTAATGTGTTGAATTCACACTTAGTGGATTTCTTTTTCAACAATTCCTTGTCAAAACAGAGAAAATTAAGTTTCGCTATTAGCATTCCACAATAATTATCTTGCACTCTTCCTTGATTAAAAGTCAATAATCGAAAGAGGAGTTTGTGGTGATGTCTGGAATATTAATAACAACCCCAGAGAAAAGGATAGGAGATAATAGGTGATTAAAAATATGTAAGGTATTGTGAAAACACTGCACAAGACATAAGAATAATGATCCATGCATGATCATTCAATTTATTAGCAAAAGTGAATACAGGATCATATCAATTGATCTCATTACACAAGTATGATCCATATGCAGTTTACATTTCTTTTAACAAATCAATTAGCACTTTTTGGTGCACATGCATCTACGGCGGAAGCCCTTGCATTTGCCTCCATCGAATTTCTCTCTTGCGCAGGTGTTTGCACAGTTGTTAGACGAAAAGCACATCCCCTTGAACTTGCCGCTCGCAGCCTCACAGGTTCTTTTCTCAACTTCCTTGCTTGATTTGGACTTTGCCTCAACACCCATTGGCCCCATCTCTATCAAATCCAATTTCATCAAGTATAAAGATCATTTTTTTTATTTGTTGTTGAATAAGATGTTTTATTCAAAACACCATAAGAAATTAATTAATAAAAAGAGATATAATTACCGGTAGTGGCCAAAAGCAGGACAAGAACGAAGGCAGCAGAAACAAGGCGCATTGAATGCTCCATTTTTATTTGTGTGTATGTGAATGTGTGCTTGATTTATGTGTTTGTGTATGACTTATTATATAGGGATCGAGGGCAGATTAAAAAGGATTATTCTCCGTAACAAGAGGTAGCTCCATACTCAAAATAAAAAGTTGAAATTTTCAGCTTAAGAAGCACCATAAACCAAATTCCTATTTTTGATGACTAGGTTCTCCACCCTACATTTTTCCGTGCATATTATGGTTTCTTCTTCAAGCACACTTAACTTTTACTTTTAAACGAATTTTTGGATTTTAGGCACATTTGACTTATTATTCACATTTTTATATGTAAATGAAGCGACAAATATCTCACTTAAAAGGACCATATAACAAAACGATTGTTTTTACACAATTTTTAGTATGTCTATACCAAATTAACATAAATTATAGATCATGATTTGAACATTAGGTGTAGAGGAAGATTAAGTTGCTTTAGCTAATTTGGCTAAGCCTAATAAAATGAATCTTAAAGCAGAACCCTTGAGAAAATGATGATTAATTGCATTTCAAACGTAGGGCATTAGAAATACTTAAATTCATTGACAAATATAGAAGTTACATAGTACGACATTATGAAATAACTCACGACGGTAGTACTTAACTTAACAAACAAGAACATTAAGAACCATAACAGGGATAGGATGTTAACAACCCAACTGTGAATTGGGCCATTAACTTATTCTAGCTAGTTCCACACTCGTACCAAAGTACCTGCGTCCATGCACCCACTGATAATTAAGTGATGAGTGATCAGCTCATCACTAGCTTAATTAATTAGATAATTAACAATGTTTAGTGCAAAAGCATCTACGGCGTAAGCCACGGCAATTGCCCCCGGGGAAGCCCTCAGTTTGGCAAACAGCAGCACAGTTACTTTTACTCACGCAGCTTCCTTTGAAACGGTTACTCTGAGACTCGCAGGTCCTACCCTCAGCAACCATCGTCCCTTTAAACAATTATTCCAAACAATAAATAGTTAATATGCATGGTTAAAATCGTAATAATATATATTAGCGACGAAGTTATTAACAAGATCGAGGGAAAAGAAATATTACCGGTGGCCACCAAAAGTAGCAGGAAGACGAAGACGGTTGGAAATAAACGCATGGAACGCTCCATCTTATATAATTTATATGTATCTATAATCGGAACCTAGCAGCACCTTATATAGACTGGAGATTGAGGAGATGGGAAAAGATCCTTTCCGGATCCAGACTCTTGAAATTTAATTCAATAATTACAAACAGAAAATTCTCTAAAAATTATAATCATTATAACCGTTGGATCAAATTTAAAAATTTCGAATCTTCGAACCCCTTTTCCATAGAAGATAAGATATGTGCCTGTGCTAAGCAATATTATATTATTACTGATGTGATTGGACCATGCCGTTCACAAATAAACGACGATAAAGAAAGAGGGAAATAATAGCAGCCATGCATATTTCTGTGCTCAAATGAATGAGTGAGTCAGTACTTGCAGCAGTGACATGTCTTTCTCAATGCTTTTTCTCGGAAAGAGATTCTCTTCTTTGGACTTGGATCCTCTCTTGAGCTAATAGAGATGATCCTCCTGACCACTAATTATGAACCGTTAGATTTTTATCCAACGGCTATAAATAGGGAGGTCCTTTTAAAGTTATAATAATTATAACCGTTGGATAAAAATCTAACGGCCCATGATTAGTGGTCAGGAGGATCCTCTCCATTAGCTCAGGAGGAGAGGATCCAAATCCCTCTTCTTTCCCAGCAAAATTACACAATTAATTTATTCAAAATTTTAAAATTTAATCTAACAATTAAAATTATTATAATTTAAAAAAAAAATTTCTGTTTATAATCATTTGATCAAATTTTAAGAATCCAAATTAAATGATTATGTTGATATAGTAGGAGAGAGCCGGAGGGGATCTCTTATTACAAACAATTGTCTCGAAAGTAATTTCTGAGCAAAGGCCATAATTAAAATAGGCGTGCAAAATTAAAAAAATGAGCCAATGTAGCAACCATTGTCATAAAGTTATGCAAACCCTAAATTATTTCAAAAAAATCTTAGTGAAATATTCTCAATACTATTCATTTTTAATGAAAATTAACTTCTTTTCTAACCTCATCTCTTAGAGACGTGGCAGGCCAATGACCTTTGCCTCATTCTTATATAATAAGGTCAAACTAATGTCCTCATTTTGCATCTACATAAGAGAAATTTTTCAGTGTGTCAATAACAATATTCGGTACATTATGTTTCAAATTTTTTTTTTAGATATCCAATCAGTTGTATTATTTTACTTGGTGTAATAAACTGTGATTCTGGTACAGAAAGATCTTTCTAGATAGAGCACCATATCCATATCTCAGTTAAAAAGACCGAGAAACTCATCTTTTATTGCACTGCAAACGGTAGGGTATTACAAAGACGTTGTTCTGAAATATGGAAGTTACATAAAATGAACATATCCATAAGAGATTACAAAGTAACTCACGCGGTGATAGTTTTACTTAATAAACAAGAACAAAAGAACAATTAATGATAACCCAACTGTGAAAGATTGGGTTTGTAATTTATTCTAGTAGCACACAAACATACACGTACGTAGGTATCCATGCACGGAATGATAATTAAACGATTATTTAATCGTAATACCCCCACATGTCACACATATATATCATACATGTATGATTAATGATGATCATCTCATCATTAATTAATAGCTAATTAACAATGTTTGGTGCAGAAGCATCTGCGGCGAAAGCCACGACAATTGCCTCCAGGGAAGCCCTCAGTCTGGCAAACAGATGCACAGTTGGTTTTACTCAGGCAGGTTCCCTTGAACTTGCGGCTCTGAGACTCACAGGTCCTACCCTCCGCAAGCAGTGGTCCCATCATCCCTGCCAATTATGGTTATTAAACAGTCCGAAATTAATATGTTAACAAGAGGCAATTTAGCTGGAGAAGAATATGCATATATTTAGGTTACCTGTAGCCACCAAAAGAAGAACAAAGACGAAGGCAGTCGAAAACAAACGCATTGAACGCTCCATCTTTCTATATATGAATTTGTATGCGAGAGGGAAGAGAGAGACCTGCAGTGAGATCGATGTGAAGATTAGTCACCTTGCAAGCCCTGTTATATAGAGTTGTTGTGGAGCTGCCAGATTGGTGCTGTGCCATTATGAACTATCGATAAAATTAAAAGTTACTAATTAAAAAATCTAAAAAAGACAATCAAGATTATCTAATTATATCCATGTGAATGAATCATTCCGAGTCAGGGAGCACTAGTGTTGAAAGTTGAAAACAGTGATATCATATGAGAAATGTTCAGCGGTTGAAAAATGGAACTTTCCGTGAATACTTGGTATATCGTGTTTTTGATACATTATTTTATATATTGATATGATGTTAAATTTTGAGATGTTAAAATATCTATAAAAAAATCTCTTTTTTTTTTTTTAAAGAAAGACCCCTTAACATAGTAGGCAGATTCTCTGCCTTTCCACTTTTCATGCCCTTTTATTTTATGTGGTCAATGTTAAGTTATATCGACATTTTATATTATTATTTTATTTTATCTTATTCTATCTATAAAAAAAATATAAAATATTAACGTGACTTAATCATGAACACACAAAACAAAAAGGTACATAAGGGCACGAAAAGTGGAAGGGCAGAGAATCTGCCTCCCTCCCTTAACATGGATCAGGATCCTCTCCTGAGCTAAGGATGAGGATCCTCCTCATCAAGGGATGTGGGCCGTTTGATGAAAATCCAACGGCTACAATTATTATAACTTTAAAAGAATTTCTTGTTTATAACCGTTAGATTTCATCTAACAACCCACACTTATTGACGAGAAGATCGTCATCCTTAGCTCAGGAGAGGATCCTGATCCCCTTAACATATCAAATTTCTGCTCTCTGTCCAATATCATGTCGGCAATCCATGCTCCATTGAGCTGTCAAACGTCTTCTTTTCTTCGCCACTTCAGTGGCAGTGATGACTTTACTTCACTCGTGAATATCCTGCGCCACGTTGTATGTCGCCTCGTTCGGTCTCGATGATTTGAACAAAATAGACAACCTTCTAAGTTCCATGAATATTATTGAAGTTAGAAGAGAATAACCTTTCTTTTGAGTGGAGTGTTTTTTTTTTCTTTTTTGGACAAACTCTCTCTTCTAATCCTATTATTTTAAGAATAACTGGAATACATGAGTTTTTTTTTTCTGAGTAATCTATCTTTTATCTCAAAGTTGATTACAATTTTTTTATTTCTTCTTTCAACATATTTTAAAGTGTTTCATTCATTCTAATTTATGATTTTTTTTTCATTTCTTCCTTCAACATAATTTGAAGATAGTGTTTCATCATCTCAATCCATGATTTTTTTTCATTTCTTTCTTCAACATACTTTAAAAATAGCATTTCATTCCTGTTCATAAATTTGATATTAAATGTGAAGAATAAATAAATGTATCTTTAACGCTTTAATCTCAATCTTTGATGGGTGACTCATCATGAACATATGTGGTCAAATTATTTATGGGTAATCCCAACTATTTATAAAAGGGGCACGTGGAGTGACATTGTTGACACTTGACAGTCACACTAGGAATATCCCAACACATCAAAATATAGTATATGCCATGTTCTCATACTAAAGAGAGCAAGAGAAATATGGGCAAAGTAAAAGTAAAGAAGATTAGGATGAAAAGATGGTAGATTAGTTTCAAAGTTTCATAAATACCACCCAGCTTAGGAACTAATAAAGGACTAGTCATCCATCTTTTTTATGGACTTGGATTGTCTGCCCTCCTATTTCGGTTAAGTCACGTCAATATTTTATATTGTTTTTTTATAAAAATAATAAAACAAAAAGAAATAGTAATATAAAACGTTGACGTGGCTTAATCGTGACCACATAAACAGAAGGGCACGAGAAGGGCACCAAAATGAGAGGGTAGACAATCCAAGTCCTTTTTTATATACACAGGCAATTCCTTTGTCCTTTAATTAACACAAGGGAAGTAAGATTGACATCAACATACAAAAGTAATGTGAAGGGGAGTTTCGACAAGCAACACCAAATCTAGCTTTTGAAAAGAAAAGATATCGTAGCATGCATATTAAGATAAAGTAACCCAAAAGGAAATACATATCTATCTACCTCACTCTCATGATAAGAAAAAAAAAATATCTTAGCTTTTGTTTTTTCTCGTTCATGTGATGGAACCCTCCCACCCTTATTTCACGAAAAATGTTTTGCAAGTGTCGGTACCGACTTCTCAAACTTATAGAATTACTTGCATCAGTTACCGTTGAATTAGACCCTTTTTCCTTTTTATCTGAATTTGTTTCCTTTTTGTTTTTACACACAACCATATTCAGTGGTGACTGGGCGAGTTTTAGACTAAACCACAAAATTAATGAATTCGTCGTAATTAAGTATTAAACGTGCCCATTGTATTATGAGTAGAGCATGAGCATTCTTACGTATAAGTGACGAGAAATACAACTATATTATAATGGTTGTGGTCATGATTAAGAGCTCGTTTCAAAGTGCTTTTAAAATAGAAACGTTTTTGATAAAAATGTTTTTGAGACCAATCTATAGTAAAAATGCAAATGATTCCTGAAAAAAAAAAACATTTTAATGCTTCATATAAGAAGCACATAACTAGTATTTTTACAGAAAACACTTTAAATGCTTATAAAACCCAAAAATATTTTTCTCTAAGACACTTTTAGTGTTTTAGAAAGTAAAAATGTGTCCACAGTTTAGTTTCATTTCTTATAAAAAATTCCAGCATGTGTTTCATCTGAATCTGATTCCATCTAGACCGAGCCTATATGCGGTTGGACCGTTGGGTTGGATGGGGCTGGGATCTTATTTTTGGGTTTGGATTAAAATGAAAGGAAAGTAGGGAGAATTGATCGCAGTCCACGGTCCATTCCGTGAGAAAAGTGCTTATAACATTTGGTTAAAAGTTCCCAGTGCTTTTGGGAAGCACGTCATCTGATAATAAAAAGTGCTTCTAATAAATAAGCTTACGAGCACAAGTGTTTTGTAGAGAAGCGCTCAAGCACAAACAAGTGTGGAATGTAGATAGACAGCATGCTCTTGCATGAGTATATACATAACAAATAGTACACAAAGAAATCTGTATCCCTAACTCCCCCATCCACGAAACAAGACCTACCTAGTAAGCCCTGAAAACAAAAGTATAAACAAAATGACAACCCTAAAATTCTCCATCAGGCACATCGTAATAGTTGGAGACGCGTAAAGCAGTCTACCGAGCATGAATTCATCCATTCATTCCCAAGTAACCGAGACCATAGAGTTGGCCAGACCCGATTCTTCAAAAGTAGACTGACAATCATACTCCAAATTCTTTGAAGCTCCTGGGATTGCCTGCGTCAAGTGAAATGGCCTTGCCTCAGCTTCCTTTAGTTGGGAATAGCAGAAAGACCACAACAGCTGCAAAACTAACAGTTCAAAATTACCGACAACCATAGGAAGGGGAGCTCATGCATAAGCATGAACTTTCGGCATAAAATTATAAAACTTCCCTCTTTACCTGAATTGGATCAACGCGGAGGAAGTTCCGCTGGACCCTGCGACCGTCTGGAAGACGGACTCCAACTCTGCAAAGGAGGTTCCTGTCACCCTTGGGTTCTTCGGGCAAAGGTAGGTATGTAGGCATCTTGATTGAGCTTGTTTCTTCCTCCTTCTTGGTGATGATTTCATCTTTGTCTTTGGATATTGTTCCGCTTGTCTCCTTCATGCCTTCCATGGAAGCTGCCAATGCGCGCTGCACTTCCTCATCTTCTTCATTAGTTTCGTCTGCAACTGAAGCATCTATAGTCATACACACAGTTCGTTTAAGAAAAGGAAAACATATCCAAAACACAACTTTTAAGAACAGATCCAGAACAATTCACTATGCTGCTACCAAAGCCAATATGGTATGGCCAGCAATTACCGAACTCACTTCCATTACAGGATTAAAAGCACATTAAACACACGGATCTTGGTTTCTTCTGTATGTATTTCCATTTTGAGTTCGTATCACACTTCACACGAGGATTCTTTTCCCTTTCGTCTCCCACATGCCCACACCCACTTTGTTAAGTTGGAACAAGGAAATTGATCAACTCAAAAGGTTCAACCAAGTGAATAATTTGCAAAATGAAATGCAACATACTCAAGGAGTAAAAAGGTTCACTGCAATGTAATAGAGCAGAAGTTATTAAGATTCCCGAACATACCTTTAGTTTTTTGTGGCTGAGCGGTTTCTCTCGGGCGTTTATTGGACAAAGTTACATGATGATCCCTGGGGCCACTATCAAAGAAGAGTAGTAGATCCTACAGTGGCAAGGATGATTTCATACCAAAATTTAACTTCAAAGCAAAAGTGTAATTACAGTATGAAACGGTCTCTTAGGCACTCTAACAAGAGAAAACTTAATACTCAACTGTGAAAATACAGTGTATACCATGACATTTACCTCTAGCAAACGATCCGGGTGAACCATTCCATTCCATGAACGCATTTTTTGTCCAGTAATAGGGTCAATAAGGAGCACTACAGGCATAGATTCCAACTTGTAGTATGTGCAAACCTTCTTGCCTTCAGTTGTATCATCATATGTCTATATTTTCGAACCAACATCATACGCATGAAGCACAAAAATTAAACAATTACTTTTGTCAGAATCACAAAGATGATGCAAAAGTTCATGTCCATATCTGTTATACAATTAGGGGGCAAAACCCTCACAAGACAATTAATAAAACTTCTGACACAATTAACAGTCTCTCAAAGGCATGGCAAGAAAAGACAACCAATCACAAACAAATTTATACAATCTCCGTAATTTTAAGTTCCAATAGGAGATCCTAAGACTATTGTTTTAAAGGTCAACCTTCGTCAAACTTTTGGTTCATAGACAACAACATAATATAATCCTAACAAAAAATGAAACCATCATGGCTGCCTTGGGCAAAACTTGCTGTTACCACCAAGGGAGCATGGTAATATATATGTAATATCATCCAGTCACATACATGTTGAATTTTTTTCTTTTATAAACAAAATCACACTAATGTATATCATTATATCTTAATGAGTGAATGTGCATATGTATATCAACAGCCTCCCACTATGACCAAAAAATAAAGTATGTAAAAAAAAAAATTAAGTAAAAAGAATTTCTTAAAAATAAAAACCATCAACCGTGCACTTGCTAATGTAAATATCAAAGTACAGCCTGAAAAAAAAAATCATTTAATTT